TATGCATGGCTTGAAGTTCTGCCCATTGGGAGGATTTCTCTTCACCACTGTCCTTCAAGGAAGTCCCAGAAAGGGGCTGCAGTGCTGCTGCTGTCCACTTTCAAGTAGTGAGTGCCTCCATATCATGCAGAACCATCTGTAAACCAGGCACAAGTTTTCTCTTCCTCAGTCAGCTGATCATAAGGAACTCCCCATGAGGCCATAGGTGCAGACTAGGAGAGGGAAGGTAATGTGACTGGAATGGAGACCGTAGACATTTGGGCCACTTCCTCATGCAACTTATTTGTGCCTTCAGGTCCAGTTCGAGCCTGATCTGTGATGTACCACTTCCATTTAATGATGGAGTACTGCTGTGCATGTCCAACTTTATGACTCTGTGGATCAGACAACACCCAGTTCATCGTGGGCAGCTCAGGCCTCATGGTCACTTGGGAGCCCATTGTTAGGCGTTCAGTCTCTACTAAAGCCCAGTAACAAGTCAAAAGCTGTTTCTCAAAAGGAGAGTAGTTATCTGCAGAGGATGGCAGGGCTTTGTTCCAAAATCCCAAGAGTCTGCATTGCGATTCACCAATAGGGACCTGCCAAAGACTTCAGCATCTCTATCTACTACAGACACTTCAAGCACCACTGGATCAGCCAAATCATATGACCCAAGTGACAGAGCAGCCTGCATGGCAGCCTGAACCTGTTGCAGAGCCTTCTGTTGTTCTGGGCCCCACTCAAAACTAACAGCTTTCAGAGTCACTTGATAAATAGGCTGCAGCAACCCACCCAAATGAGGGATATGTTGCCTCCAAAATCCAAAGAGGCCCACCAGACGTTGTGCCTCCTTTTTTAGTCATGGGGGAAGCCAGATGCAATAACTTATCCTTCACTTTAATAGAAATATCTCGACATGCCCCACACCATTGAACCCCTAGAAATTTCACTGAGGTGCCTGAATTTTTGTTGGGTTAATTTCCCAATGTCTAGCATGTATATGTCGCACCAATAAGTCTAGAGTCATTGATACTTCTAACTTACTAGGTCCAGTCAGCATAATGTCACCAATATAATGGACCAGTGTGATGTCTTGTAGAAGGGAAAGGTGATCAAGATCCCTGTGGACTAACGTATGACAGAGTGCTGGGGAGCTGATATACCTCGAGGAAGGACTGTGAAAGTATACTGTTGGCCTTGCCAGCTGAAGGCAAACTGCTTCTTATGGTCCTTTGAAACTGGTATCAGAAAAAGGTATTGGCCAGATGAATAGCTGCATACCACAAGTACCAGGAGATATACTAATTTGCCCAAGCAATGAAAGCACATCAGGAATAGCAGCTGTAATTGGAGTCACCACCTGATTAAGTTTATGGTAACTTGTTGTTGTTCTCCAAAATCCATCCGCTTTTTGCACAGGCCAAATAGGCAAATTAAATGGAGGTGTGGTAGGAATCACCACCCCTGAATCCTTCAAGTCTTTGATGATGGCAGTAATCTCTGCAACCCCTCCAGGGATGCGGTACTGCTTTTGGTTTACTATTTTTGTAGGTAGCGGCAGTTCTAATGGCTTGCACTTGGCTTTTCCTACCATAGTATCCCTTACTCCACATGTCAGGGACCCAATGTGGGAATTCTGCCAATTGCTCAGTATATATTTTCCAATTATGCATTCTGGAACTGGGGAAGTCACTACAGGATGGGTTTGGGGACCCACTGGACCCACTGTGAGACACACCTTAGCTAAGACTCCATCAATAATTTGATCTCCACATGCCCCGTCTCTGACGAGTGGGCCACAGTGACGCTCTGGGTCTCCTGGAATTAGTATCAGTTCAGAGCCAGTGTCCAGTATTCCTCGAAAAGTCTGATTGTTTCCTTTTCCCCAATGAACAGTCATTCTCATAAAAGGCCTCAGATCCCTTTGGGGAAGGCTGGGAGAAAGATTGACATTATAAATTTTTGGCAATATACTGGGGTCCTTCCTCAAAGGAACCCGGCCTCCCCTTCATTCAAGCGGTTTGGGGGTATAAACTGATTCAAGTCTGGGAATTGTTTGAGAGGCCATGACTCTGTGTTGTGGTGATTCAATCTAGGCTATTGTTCACATGACCTAGAATTCTTCCATCTATACAGATCAAGTAAATATTTTGTAGGTTTGCCATATATTTCACTACTAGGAACACCTTGCACAAGTAGCCAATGCCATAATTCCACACGAGTCAGACTATTCTGATTACTGTTCGGACTCTGCTGACCATTATGGTAACCACACCCACCTTGCCTTTGTCTATTACCTGCTGCCACTTGGCCCCTACTTCCATGGGGTCCAATCAACCCCATCATAGGTAAGTGTGTTAGTTCAATTAGGACAGTTCTCACTGTAAATCTGGCTTCCATAAAATAGCAATCACAGTAGTCTACAAGGATGCTGGAACTCCCTTCACAAATTTATTCCTCATGGTACTGGTGAAAGGCATGTCTTCTAGACTCTCCATTTCTGGCTCCAGGGGTCTAATCTGATAAATCCATTCTAACAGGCCAGTTTCCCTAAGCCTCTGGATACCTTCTTCTACATTGTACCAAGGCAGGTCTGGTACTTCATCTTGACTTAAGGTAGACCACCGCATAATCCATGCTTCAGTAAGTCAACCAAATAAACTATTAGATCCTTTCCTAACCTCTGAAACACAGCTGCAACTATCACAATGTGTATAAGGTAAAACTTTCATTTAATATTGTATTCAATTTTATTGATAAGTTTATTTGTGACTTGCCCTCATGAAACAATTATCATAATTCTTCATATTTTTCCCCTAATTTAGTATTGAGGAAAATACCTTTTTTGAGTCTTGATTTTTTTTTTTTCCCCGTGTGTGTATAGACTTGTGAACTTTACATCATATACTACCTTGTTTAGACGGCAGACTTAAGGTAATTTATATCATGAACTAATATTCACAAGTCCTTGCAGATTTCTAAAATGCTTTGACATGTTAACCTGTAAAGTAGCCCAGTGAAGTAGTTAGGATTATCTCCATTCTGTAAATAAGGAAAGTAAAACTCAGAGAAATTAAGACAATTGCCCAACATCACCCAGGCAGTAAATGGTACAGCTCGGACTCAATCCCAGATTCCCTGGTTTCTAAATCCTATTTTCTAACAGTAGCCTGCTACCAAGGAGCTCTGGTGCCATAGTGCCTAAGGCATTTGACTGCCAACCAGAAGGCTCGTGAGTCAAACCCACCAGCCACTCCTCAGAAGAAAGATGGGGCAGGCTACTTCCATAGTGATACTGCCTCGGAAACCCAAGGAGGGGTCGCTATGAGTCAGATCCAACTCAATGGCAGTGAGTTTGGTTTTGGTTTTAGCCTGCTTTCATATGTATCAGTTGTCATGATGTAGTAATTCTCAACTTGGGTGGTCCCACCTCAGGGACATTTGGAAGGTCTTGGTTGTTAGAGAAACCTAATGAATTTAGGCATTTAATACCGAGTGTTAAATGTACAGGGTGATCTTATCCAACAAAGAATTGCTCCATCAAAACGTCATCATTTCTCTGTTGAGAAACTTTAATGACACTTTTTGTTGTTTTCAGTGATCACATTATTATATTAAGACAGTCTTATCCTGAGGAACATTTAAATATACTAGAGTATTTTTGTCAACCATCACTTCTTGTGACACTTATTATACTTATCTATGACAGTACTCTCATCTTTCTAAGTTGTAGCTTGCAATCTACTATTATCTGAAACCAAATAACCAAGCTAGTAAAAATAGTTTATATAACAAAAAGTAAGTCTCTGCATAAGTAAGATCTTCTCTGTGAAATGGAGCTCTTTGACCTTTGGTTCATTTTCTCAGAGGCCATAATGACTGCTAGATCATAGCTAAGATCAGAGATTAGTGGTTGAGAGAGTGTAAAACGTTCTTGGCAGATTTTATCTTGAAGAATGAAAGGGAAATGTTCAGTTTTATAATTTTATCAACTAAAGGAAGTGTCTTGGCTAACAGAAAGATTTATACCATTAATAATATTTTACACATAGGTAAGATAAAACAGAAAACAAACCCATTGTAGTCAAGTCAGTTCTGACTCACAGAGTATTCTTTAAAAAAAAAAATTATTGAAATATAGTTTATGAACAGTGAAATGCACAAAACTAAAGTGACATGGGTCAATGCTTTTTTTTTTTTTTTTTTTGCAGTGTTCCCTCCCCTCTCCTCCCCATCCCCCGTAACGAACAAAGTTTCCTTCCAAATATAAACCTTTCCTTCACTTTTTACAATAATGGACTAATACTATATTTGTTTTTCTGTGGTTGACTTATTTCACTCAACATAATGTCCTCCAAGTTCATCCATGTTATGCAGTGTTTTGCAGATTCTACATTATTCTTTAGTGTTGCATAGTATTCCATTATGTGTATGTACCATAGTTTGGTTATCCATTTTTCTGTTGATGTTCACGTAGGTTGTTTCCATCTATTTGCTGTTGTCAGTAGTGCTGCGATGAACATGGGTTTGCATATATCTGTTCTTGTCCTGGCTCTCACTTCTTTAGGATATATACCTAGTAATGAGATTGCTACTGACCCATAGGGTATTCTTGACTGTAATCTTTATGGAAGCATATCACCAGGCTTTCTGCAGCACAGCTGGTTGAGTTCCAGCTGCCAGCCTGTAGATTAGGTAGCTGAGAGCAAACTATTTGCTCCACTCAGGAACCTAAAAGGTAAGAATGCTACTCAATTCACTCATTCATTCCTGTTGAAGAATTAAACTTGTCCAGGCTTACAGAGCTGATAAAAGAGCAAGATGGAGAGGCTATAATGTAGTAGCAGCGCTATTTCCAGTATAAATACCTTCCTGTGCTTCTCTGTAAGTATCTTTACATGCATATGCTGGGTGTTGCCCAAAGTTGCAGTGATTTTGTGTAGCCTCATGTTTAGATAAATTCACCTGTGATTTTCTTTTTTAATAGAGCATGTATATTCTTTGTTTTGTTTTTGTTTTAGCTGAAACGAAGAAGAAGGGAAAAAAAAAAACCAAGAACAGAAAGGTGAATAGTCTACCTCCTGAGATAGCTGCTGTTCCTGGGCTGGCAAAATACTGGGCCCAGAGATACAGGCTCTTCTCCCGTTTTGATGATGGGATTAAATTGGACAGAGGTAAAGTATATTCATGTGTTTAACTTTATTCTGAAACCATCTCAGAGTTAACAGAGAAATTGCAACAATAGTGCAGATGGAGAATTTTCCTATCCCCTTTACCTAGGTTCAACTATTTTTAACATTTTACAACAATTATTTATCATTATCTGTCTCTGTCTCTCTCTTTCTGTCTCTCTCTGCATGTTCATTTTTTTTTCTAACCCAGTTGAATATAGATTGCACACATCATGTCCCTGTCCCTTAATAGTTTTCACATGTATTTCCTAAAAACGGGTATTTTCTTAATGTGACAATAGTAAAATTACCAAATTCCAGAAATTTGACATTCTAACAGTATCATAATCTACAGTCTATATTCTAATTTCATCAATTATTCTAGTCATGTCTTCTATAGCTTTTTTTTTTCTAGTGTAGAATCATGTATGGCATGTAGTTTTCATGTTTCTTTAGTTTTCCTTTAATCTAGATCAGTTCTTCAGCCTTTTTTGTGTCTTTTGTGACTTTGACATTTTTAAGAACACAAGCCAATTATTGTATAGAATGCCCTTCAACATGGGTATATGTGTGTTTTTTTAAATCTCAGATTCAAATTTAATCTGTATTTGTAGCATTTTAACATAGATAACAAAAGCAATAGATGGATCTAGTAAATGGAACATCTGATGGAGGGATGCCTAGAGCAGAAAGATATGATTTAATGAATTAACACTGTTGTTGTTGTTACGTGTTGTCGAGTCAGACCCGACTCATAGCGACCCCTCCTTGGGTTTCAAGGCAATATCACTACGGAAGTAGATTGCCCCATAACACTAGAAACTTAATTCTTATTGAGCTTTCCTACAGTGACCTGGAACAACTTATTAACTAAGGCTTGCAGACTAGTGTACATTTTCCTATTTGGGCTACCTAGAAACTAGAAATTAGTCTTAATTAGCTGTCATCTTGATTCATGGGGGGATGTCAGAGATTCTGTGAACTTCTTCTAATAACTTACAAAATGTTGTGTATTGAGGAAAGTACGTAAGAGGTTGTTAGAAGAAATAAGACTGGAAAAGAGCTTTGAGTCTCACAAAAGAAGTTTATATTTCTACTTTTCTAACAGTGAGGGACCATTTGAAGTTTTGATAATGTGAAGGAACTAGAAAATTGGCTCATCGTTTTCCTCAGGGAAATATCTTTCTGAAAAATGTAAATTTCTTCTATTGGGAAAGGAGGAGGGCAGCATCCCCTGTCTTCTAGTGGCCACAGGACCTCATTTTTGAGATGATAAGGATTCTGCCTTACCTACTATAATTCTGAACCTGTGAGGCCTTTTGCTATCTGCTTACTTTTTCTGACTCTGGAAATTTGAGAATTTTTCCAAAATGCCCAGACATATCTTACTCACTGCTTCTCCAGTAAAGTTGAGGTAATTAGGAAACTCAACTGGAGATTGAGAAGTTAGCCAATTAGAATGCTAACTTTTTTGTGTGTGTGTGTGTGTGATTTGGGTGAAGATTTACAGAGCAAAT